CGTAGTGTTATTCAATGTTTATCAGACATTTTTCATTCCTAGTAACGATATGTTTACATATAAATATAAAAATAAACACTCGGCACTCAACTTTCGGTAAATTTGTTTACAAATTGTAAAATAAAATTATAAAAAAACCAAACAAAGTAAATATCAGAGAATTGATATACGCTTATGTCTCTTAATTGAGAAAGATCTCTTTTATAATTCAAGTATTTATAATCGACTACATTGTATATACATAGTTAAAGTTAATCAAGTTCTAAGTAAAGTAAAATAATTTAAAGAACTAGTATTTATTGTTAATACAAAAATGACTGTCAATGATCATGAAAGTGAACAAGTGAGTGCTACGGAAAAATTAGAAGAGCATTACGATGAAAGTGACGATAATTCATTGGATGTGATATTGATTCGTATTGGGGAATTTGGTCGTTATCAAATGTTTAATTATGTATTACTCTGTATACCCATGATATTTAATGCATTTCAATCAATATCTTATGTATTCACCGCCAGCCCTGTTGTATACAGGTGAGTAAAATAATGTATTTTATAGAATTGATTAAGAGTAAATATAATTCATTAAATTAAGAGTGATTAAACCTAGTTCATACATGCGTACATATATGTATATGGAAATTAGATGTATTTATTTATGAGAGGTATATTTATTTCATAGAAAACATTTCTCAAGACTTTCGTTCGAAATATTGAATACCTCTATATACATATATATGTAGTTGTAAAAATATTGTGTAGGGGGTATCGAGTATTTGTCCACTTAATACTAAAAAGAACTTGTATTTAAATCCAATTTATTTATTTAAATTTAACGGATATGGTGTATAGCCAAACAATATACATATACAGTTTAACATACGAAATGCAACTCTCAGCAAAACTAAATCAAAGAAAATTAATTTAATAACTGCAATAATAGTGAAAAATTATAAATATTTATCGAATGGTATTGAGAACAAAAAAAAAAAAATAAATATTTTATATAACATAATATATTGTTTATAGCTAATTTAAGTTTGTTTGGAATAAAGGTGACTAACTTTTAGCAATAATTATTGTAATTAATATTATTAGTCACCTCTATCCCAAACAAACCAATAGATTATTAATCTATTGAAAATTCAATAACTATTAACTGTTTTTTAATTTTTTTTAATTTCATAAGATTTGTCATTTAATTTATTATATTAAATTATACGGTTTTTTGCTTGGCACCACTCTATATGAATTTTTGACATAGTTGGTTTTCAGTTGATCCATTTCATCCAGCACTACTTGGCAAATATCATTGGACCTTACATACTATCATTCAAATGTCCTAATGGAACCACTATCCGTTTTTATAACATTCTTTGGGAAATTTTTAAATTTATACCTTAAAATACGTCTATATTAGAAAAATATTTATTATGCTAAACGTTAAATTGTTATCATGATAAAAAATTAGCACGTACAGACTGCATTTATTACCGTTACAACGTCGTTATGACGGTGTTGTTTAAGGGCCCTTCACACGGTCACACTTTACGTACGACAAGTCTAATGAAAAAGTAAAATGAAATTCCATCCGTATGATAAAAAAGAGAATAAAAGTCGTATGATTTATATTTTTTGTGTTTACAAGATTGGTATAAAACAATAAGAAAGTAAGATGGAACAGCTGTTTCACTTTTTTTGTATGTGTTTACATAAAAATACATCCCTGATCTAATGCGACTTGCTTGTTTTTTGAATCATTTCAAAAAATGAAGAGAGCCATACGACTGTCAAATTTTCCATCCGTATTTTCTCTCAATGTGTGATGGTTTCATTACATATTGCGTTTAGAGGATCCCATCCGTTCTCTTCTACACAAAATTTTGGCAGATCATATTACTTGTGTGCTCATGTGAAGGGGGCTTTAAACAATTGTTTAGACAACGTTGTCTTCATAATAAACGACATTTTATTGTAAAATCTGTTGCACAAAAACAAAATTTGTGCAATTAAAATTGATTTTTTAACATAAGTTTTAGTGAAATTAGTGTTTATTTACAAAATTTGCATTTAATATTAATTGTTTTTATAAAATATAGCATTATTTAAATAAAATTATCTGTGAGTTGCCGTGATAAAATCAGAATTTTGTTACCCCTATGCATTAACATAAACAAAAAACTGAAAATTTTTCTGCCCACATTTTGTCAAGTGCCGTGATAAATATTTGTCTAATATAGACACGGGGTAAATAATTTTGAATATATAAAAGCTCATATTTCAATTAGGTTACAATTTGTCAATTCAATTTATTAAAAAAAACTTGTCTACTTTTTAATACTAATCAATATTTTTAGGTGTAATATAACACAGTGCGACAGTTTAACTAGTCAATATAGGGAGCCTTGGCTTAATTTTACAATTCCATTAAAGGATTCGCAATATGACAATTGCAATCGTTATGTATATAATAAGAACATAAGTGATTACTATTCATCGCCTTCTACAGCTGAATGTGTTGAACTTAATTTTAATAAATCGTTGGTCGAAAAGTGTAATGATGGATTCAAATTTCGTGATGCAGAATATACGGTAGCGAATGAGGTAAATAATTTTTAACAGTAATTATTTTCTTATTTTAAATATACATATAAAGATTATTCAATATTTTAATACATAATTAGTTTGGATTCTTTTGCTCTGACGAATGGAAACTAAACATGGCTGGTACTATTAACAATGTGGGGCAATTCATTGGTATACCTCTTGGCGGATTACTCGCTGATAGGTAAATTGGTCCTTATACATATGTATGTATAAGTTATTTTAAATACATTAACCCCCCATTTTCACAATGTCTAGTTATTTTTTAACTTTAAGATATATTGGCAGTTCTCATACAAAAATTGTCTTAACTGGAAGAATAACTACCAGTTAAACGATAACTGCAGGTGGTGAAAATGGGGATTAGAAAATTTTTTTGCAATATTCCATATTTATGTATGTTAATTTATGTGTGTATGTATGTTTAGATTCGGCCGTCGTACTATGTTGGCAATTGCTGGCTTTCTAAGTTCAATTATGGGCATCATACGTTCGTTTTCAACAAATTACTATATGTTTCTTTCATTTGAACTACTCGATATGGTCGTCGGAAGTACACTATTTCCTACGGCTTTTTTATTGGCCATTGAATTGGTTGGACCAAAGAAACGTGTGGCAGCCGCAACAATAATTACAATATTCTACTCATTAGGTGAAGCATTGTTGGGTGTTCTAGCAGGACAATTTCAAAATTGGAGAACTCTTCTGAGGGTACTGTATATACCAGCGGCATTACAAATATTTTTCATAATCCTATTGCCCGAAAGTGTACGTTGGCTATTAAGTCAAGGTAGGGAAAAACAAGCCGTTACAATACTTAAAAAAGCTGCTCGGATTAATCGTAAAGTTTTACCCGAGAGTAGTTTAAAAAGTCTGGTGAACTCCAATAAAAATAAATTGGAAACGGCGAATGAGAGTAATTATCCCATATGGCTGGCTATTAAAACGTTTTTCTGGAGAATTTTGAATTGTTCATTCTGTTGGTTTACACATACACTGGTAGCCTTGGGATTAAGTTTAAATTCTGTAAATTTAGGTGGTAATAAATACAATAACTTTATGCTGAATGGTCTTGTACAAGTGCCAGGTTTAATACTTCCGCTCTTTATAATGAACACTATCGGACGACGTTTTTCCTTATTTGGTTCCATGTTAATATGCGCTTTATGTATGGGAGCAGCAATACTATTTGGCAAAAGTAACAATAATAATAAGTGATTTAAATATATTTATTTATTTAATAACATTTATCATTTCAGATGGTGACAATGTTGAACTGATACTATTTCTGATTGGCAAATTTGCTATAACTTGTAGTTTTCAAGTTTTATACTTTTTTACATCAGAAATATTTCCTACAAATGTGCGTAATAGCCTTTTATCCTTATGTTCAATGATCGGTCGAATTGGATCTATGTTGGCTCCCCAAACTCCATTATTAGTAGGATTTAAATCAATTAATTACATAAGTTATATGGTTTAATTATATTAAAACTAATATTTCTTCTTAGGCCAATTACTATGAGTATGCTCCACAATTTCTATTTGCCGCATTTGCCTTAGTTAGCGGTTGTTTAACACTATTATTTCCTGAAACTGCTAATAAATCTCTGCCTACAACGATGAATGAAGCTTCTAACTTAAAAAATGGCCCAGATGAAAAATCAGAGCTTAATGAAAGTATTTAAAACATTGCGAAAGGTTGTTGTTCTGATATTTGTATTCATGTAATGATATTGATTTAATAAAATTATGTCTTTAAATAAATATTTAATTTAGTCAGATTGCCCAGGCGAACGATGAAAAACGATTTAATTAATTTTCACTAATACTAGTATTATTTGGTGTGCTGATCCCGAAAATGGCAACAAGAAGTCTTATCACTGATAACACTACGGCTCTGAAGTGTAAAAGGATTTTAGCTCTAATAGTTTCTCAGTTGAATATTAATGTTCTTAGTGCAAACTTTAAAGATTCTAACTCTAATAGTTTCCCAGATAAACGAATTTTTGTATTTAATTTAATCATATTGACACTAAAGTGGCTCCGACAAATTTTGATTACTCTTACTGTTATATTTTTTCAAGGTGCCACGATCACCATTGCCATTCCGCCCATTTTGTCTACAAGTATTCTTTTGCAGTTTCTGAGACATACGACTTTTAATATTTATTTTGTATGTGGGCGTGGCTCCTCGCCCACTGAAATTTCAAAATAAAAAGTTACCTATAGCTTCTTCCAGACATACAGAAAGACACTGTGAAAATTTCAAGAAAATTGGTTCAAATCGGTTAGTCGCCTATAAACTTAAAACATACAAACAAACACACATTCATTTTTAATATATGTATATATGTATGTACTATATTTATATAATAGATTTTACATTAATTAAAGAATATATATAATGTACATCATAAGTAACACTTTTACACAGTATTTTCAAAAGCCAAATTATTGTGGCCCTGCATTGGATTCCTATTAAAGTCTGTATTTCGAGATGTTTGTTTCGTTAGACGACGTTTTGCAACAAATCGTGTCTCATTTAACATCATAATAGATTTTCTACTCATAGAAATGTGTTTCATATTTATATCATCTGTTAAGAGAAGTAATTAAATTCATAATTAATTCTTTAAAAATATTCTAAAAGTTTACGTACCATCACCGAGAAAACGTCGTTCGAAATTACGCGGCAGATCGCTGTAGTCGTAATGACTCTTATTACGATTTTCATGCAATTTAAATATTGTTTGACGTCGTACCATATGCTGTTCAACCTCATCGTTCAGTTCATTTTGGCTGGCATCGTTAACGGTGTCATCTTCATCATCGTCATCGAGACGTTTTGGTCTTTGTAGTTGTCGTGCAATATGTACCGCATTACCACGTATTTCTTGAGCTGCATCCTCTTCCGTTATCTTAAATGAAAATTAAACAGAATGCAACAGAGCAACAATAATAAAAAATATACTTAGTAGAGTTAATTTTAAGTTAAGAATTCATTTTGTTATGCATTCGTGTACTGGGTGTATAATTTTGTACAGTATTGTGGAAAATAGTATAAGCAACGCTATCAATTTATAGTAGTAATATGTAAACAGTTTCACACTAATTGAATGACTGAAGTTGCTATCCTAAACATTAATTTGAACCGATATATGTATCTTAGTGTTTTCACAAGTATTTTTGTTTCTATTATTTGTTCAGACACTGTATGTATGTATATCTTTGCAACTACTTATGTATGTACAAATCTCTTCTGGAAAATAAACCTTCAAAAAAGTGCATTTTTATGTTACACCAGGTGATGATGAAAATAAACTTTCTACAAGTTGAAGAAACAAAAAACTTTAATTCAATTTAAAATGTTGCCCAAAAATATATTTTCAACGTGAACACAATATGTAATGTTTTTGTTGTGTGTGTGTGTGGCAAACCATTCACAAGTTTCTGTGTGAAACAACATATTTGCAAGTGGCTAAAAATTAAATGATTATTCCAAAAAAGTCCAAATTTCCGAATAACGATTTTTAAAAAATTTTATAATATCGACTTTTTCCCCAACTATGTACATTAGAAGTGCCCAAAGTTATCGCTTTTGTTTGGATGGCTCTTATTTTGTTTATTAGTGCCTAAAACTAACTGGTGTTAAATTTTAGTCCAATCGGATAACGGGATCCCGTGCCGGAAATCAATTGAAAAGTATAAAATTGGGTAAATAATAGGACATTTTTGATTTCTTCAAAAACTGTGCTATTAAAATTATCTTTTCTTAACATTTCGATCAAATATTATCTTATTCTTTTCGTTACCTTTCCTATTAAAGTGGCAGGGAGTGTAGATATGTATGTGTTTATAATTAAAGCATAATACCTTAAATAATAGATCCACTCACACCTTTTGGTTTCATTCTCATCCATCCTTTCGTTGAGATTTTTATGTGAACTAAAATATAATACAATGTTTAATTTCACAGTCTTAAATTACGTAATTTGGATGTATTATATTCGAAAGAAATAGGGTGGAAGTAATGGAAGTAAAACAAATATTTGCTACAGTGTATCATACTACATTAAATAGACCTACTAAAGTCCAGAAACCTTAATTTCGAAGAAAAACTTCACATCTCACAGGGGAGCAAAATCGATTTTTGTCGGAAATAAATCTGACACTATCGGGATAATATTTGACATGGGCTTGACAGAAAATTGCTCCAGGAACGTCGCTAAAGGACTTCGACAGATAGATCACCATCGTATGAAAGGTAATTACATATGTATGTATATATAAGTTTGTCATTCCATTTGTAACTAGTTTCCACAATATAATTTTCCGATCACATAAAGTATATATGCATATTCCGGGACGGAATCAATTTAGCCATATCCCTCTGTTTGCCTATATACATACAGATGTTGAAATCAGTTTTCAGAAGACCCCAGATATCTGCGACATCTGAATCTTCAATAATTCTATCATATATGCTTTCGAGAAGAATGCTATTTGAAATCAGCAAAATCGATACATAAATAACGGAAATATGAGTAAACGGAAATGTCTTAGGAACATTGAGTCTCTTATTAAAGAAAAGAGAACAGTCAGACGTTAATGGCAACCATTAGGAACTTCGAACATAAAGGTTAAACTTAATCAATGCCAAAAAAGACTTCACATCACTTTAAAGAATTATATGGAATCTAATCTGAGAAATTATTTATCATATTAACCTCTACTATCTGAATCTGTTTTAATGTTTCAAATGAGAAAATGAGTGATATCTTTTAAGATCACCATCAACTTCATCGAGATGACGTAAATCTCCTGCATCTAGATCCAAAATAGATGAAAATGAATCGGTTAGCTTCTCTGACAAACATTTTAAGACAAAACACAGTAATTCTTCCCTAGTATATGCTTACATTGACAATTTGATTTATGAATACATCGGTTTTCGTTTTAAACTTAAACCGAAAATTGTAAATAAATATACATACATATGTATGAATGTACCAAACATATAAAATATTGAGACAAAAGAAAAATATAATATAAATTATCAATATAGAACTCTTATAGCGAACCTGTGTTTGGCAACACCTGTTTCTAAACTAATTTAACTTTATAAGAAAAGAAGAAAAATATAAATAGTATTTTGAGTAGATAATAGTTTTTCTTACCGTACTTGATGCTCTAAACCAATCCAATTTAGTTGTAGCCAACAACTGTGAAATGGTTGCGAAACGATGAAAAAACATTGCAATAAACTGTATTATGAGAATGAGACCGAAGAAGAGAACAAAACACAGACCGATGGGGTCAAGCTCCTTGTAACGACGATAAATATAGATTTGTGAGTTTATATCATCGTATGTTATGAAGTCGACCGGGTCAATAGGCCACTCCAAGTGTAAGTAATCTTTCTTTAGTTGAAGCAAAAAAACAATAAGAACGAAAATTGAATTTATCATAACAAAGGCGAAAGCAAACATGTTGCGTAGTTCCCGTAGGCTGTCGGCAATTTCAGTCTTCTTCTCCTTTGTGTGAAACATTGGCTTCAAATACAATTTAATTAAATCCTTCCAGAAACGCTTTTCACGCAATGATATCTCACCCAGTTCAGAGTCAACAAGTAGGGGATCATTAATCCACCCCGGTATATAATGTTTCTCTTTGTTGTCATCATCATCTTCAGTCACACCATCGTCATCCTGAAAATATGAATGTGCAAATGTGTAAAAAATAATCTCTAACCTTTTGTGTATTTATGTATGTTTATGAACATATCGCTCATTTACTATAAGACTGACATAACTTAACGTTTGGGTTCTTTGAACTGAGTACGACAAAATATGTCATATAGTGTGAGAGTGATATTTTATTGTAAAAGTTGAATCAGCAAAAACATGGACTTGTAGTTACCCAACAACCTACTTTTCAATCACCACTACATATCGTCTGCATACTGAGAAGGATTCTAGTAATGACTTACATATAACATTATAAGTTATTACTTTTAAACCTTGCCATTTTATTTTTTACACAAACCGAAAATAGTTTTTTTATACCCTTAGTAGACGTAGTGGACTTACCCAACTCCCTATTTGCAAGCGAGCGTGGAAAGTACTTGACTCCAATGTCATCATCGTGTTAAAATAATGACTTTTAAGAAAATGTTAAATATGATTTTACATCATATTTCTAGAAACGAAGTTTCTGGATTATGCCAATCTTTTGGTAAATGAGATACATATGTATGTATATATGTAAATGTGGTATGTATGCATGTAAATATAGTATGTATGTATGTTTGAATGTGTAAAAAATTATAATAAAGACTGTGGAATTGAGCTGACAATGGAATTGATTAAATCATATTTCAAGTTTTTACGTGTGTGCATTGTAGCATCATTTAATATTTTCCAATTACCTTTTTTGGTGCAACTTCGCGGGTTCCCCAGGATACGTCATTCATATTGAAAACCGAGTAAATCAATAACAACATATACATCGAAGGAATGGTAATGTAGTATATAAAGCCGCATATAAGAGCCCCAACTTCTTGGGGATGTACAATTCCTGTAAATTTAAATATGAATGTATATTTAATGTAAAAGAAAACAATAATATTATGCTCAAAAAAAATGAATTCCACTGAAACCCGCCAAAATTTCTATGAACTAATAATAAAATTCTTGGTATTCAACTATAATTGAAAATTATAAATTAAGACAAACAATTCGGAATCAAAAGCTTTTTATCAACATAAATTTAATTCAGTTACTTTTGTTTTAATACTTACCGGCTATAAAAATTTGTAAAAATACCAAAAGGAAGAATAATGAGGCAGGGGCAAAGGGACCATCATCTATCATTTGAATTATAATACCAATTAGAACAGCCATCATAACTAAACAGTACAAAGAACTAATAACAAAAGCCAGCAATAACTAAAATTATAAAATGAATAAATTCAATACATTAGTTAAATATCATAAAAATGATAACCGATTTGTATCCTAAAGACAAATATGTATTTGCTTACAAAATTTGTCTACTAAAACCAAAGAATATACTAAAACTACTAAAATATACCATACATTTTAAGAAACTCAAATTCTCTTCACAACTTGTATTTGAATTATTGTCGACTTAATTACCTGCAATCTATCGGTAAATTGGCCGAATTCACTAGTCTAGTTGAAGACTCTCAAAATGGAGAGACTTACGAGATTCGGTCTACTCATTGAGCTTTCTATCTATAGCGACAACGCTAACTACCGTTACCGCTATTCTACTAAAAAAATCAAATTTCCAAAAAGTAAACAAATCTCCACTTAATTAATATTGTTAACACCACTGTAGACTAGACTATAGATTATACAGACTATATACTATAATTTAGAATATAGACTAGACTGTATAATAGACTATACACTAGATAATAAACTAGACTATACACTAGATAATAGATAAGACAATATACTAGATTATAGGCTAGACTATTTGAGAATATATGTAGATATGAGGATCGGTCCGCCAAAATAAAATCAGTTTATAGCTAATAAACCATTCCAAAAGTTAAGCATTATGATAGAATTATGGATTGTAGAATTTCAGAATATAATTAATTCTTTAAATTAAGATCTTTGTCCATATTTAACCCTATTCCACATTGAAGGCCCTATTCAGAAAACCACTTTCATATTAATCTAATGATCCAAGTCCAGCTACCGAAATTTACTTTTTTATGACATATGATTTTATTATGGGTATAATGAGATTCGGAATACAATATTCTTACTTGTTAATTATTTTAAACATATCGAAATTACCTCTAAAATATCTCTTTATCGCTAAAATGCCGTTACCGAAATATGCCAAAATATCGCTAAAATACCGTTGCAGAAATAAGTTCAAATGCCGATAATGCTACCTTATCACCATTTCGAAATGGAAAAAATATCATAGACACTAATGAACAAAAAATAGACCCCTCTGAGGAAAAGTTATATATTTTGTGCACCTTTAATACATACATATGTACAGAAATAATTGAAAATTTTAAATATTACCTGAAAATTTTGTTTTAAATATATACAGGACAAAATGAAAGCCAACAAAGGTATGAAATTCCATAAAAACGCCGTCCATATACCGGTACTGAAAACAGTAACCAAAGCACCAACCATCATGAGAAAAATAGTGCCGGGCCCCAAAATGGTGCCAACCATTAACATTGCCTGATAGACAATGTAAGGCATTGATATTGAGCTATTATTCTTCACCACCATATCGGCATCGGAGAGTAGATCAAATATATTGGCAATGGTGGAGGGAACCCAACGGCGACGTTGATTGTAGAATTCGTTAAACATTTCAGGTGAATGAGTGTAAGCATCCGACGCGGCTGAGTATTCAACACGCAAACCCTGCTTAAGAATAAGCGTACAAAGCCAACGATCCTCACCCTGATCATATTGAACGTAATGCATGGGCTCCTGTGACACTGTTGTGTATTTCTTCATTACACTGTTCTCCATTAGAGCACTACCACGAAACAAACTAAAACAGCCAGGACTACATAATACACAACCAATAACATGCTCTGTTGCCTTTTGCAACCAATGACCTATGGCGTATTCGAAGATTTGATACCAAACCATAGGGCCTCTACCGACAGGATGAATACGACCACAGGCAGCACCTAATTCATCTATGGCCTTCATGCGGTCTATTAAAAGTTGCACCGCCTGCGGTTGAAAGTCAATATCACCATCAAGAGCCAGCAAAAATGTATTTTCTGCTATCACTGCCTTACGCTTGGCCGATACTGATTCCAATTCCATTATACGAAAACCCAACAAATAATACATGTACATAACCTGTGACCAGCGTTTCTTATGTCGTATTTTATCCTTGTTTTTTAAATGAGCAATCATCTTTGAGCGACCAGGCAGTGTCCATACCAAACGACCGCCATAAGGTGTTTCAATCTTTACGGGTGGCTTGATTTTTATATTAACACCGTACACCTCAAATGCAGCCTTTTCAATGCTGGTAATCAATATTTTTACATATTCATTGAGAGGAGGATTTTTCGGATTCTCCACATATTTTTCATCCAATATGAAAGCATCATCAAAGAAAATATTAGCTAGAATGCAGAAAAAAGAAACATAGTTAGTTGATGCGTTCGTAAATTGAAATTTAATTGAAATGAAAGTGCAAAAATCAACAATATAGTTTGATAGTTTTGGATTATAAGGGTTAACACTAGTATGTATGATTTTTCTAATTTATTTGCATAATCTTGAATAGGTGCATTAGGTTGGTCCAATATAAAAATTTCTAAAATATTTAAGGATCTTTCTATTGTTTGATCCAGCTCAGCAAATATTGATGTCAGGAAGACAATTTTGAAAAATGGTATCCCAAAAAAAAAAAAAACTAAACATCGACAAATTTATATTTCGGAGCCTTCCTAATGTAGTACATACGTACATAAATATACATATGTGTATATGTATGTATGTAGGTAAACATATAGGCGTCACGGATTAACTATTAAAACTACATAATAAATTTAATGCAAAATTGTATTTATTTCCAGGAAAAATTATTCTCCACAAAATTTTCTACAATTTGTATTAATTCAATTATTCCAATTTCTATTACCATAAATAAAGAGTAAAGAGTTTAGCACTTTATTTATTACCACTTCCAAAACTATTTTAAATTAAATTTCATAAAGAATGCAACCGTTTATCTTAAATAACGGAATTTTGGTTTTATCTTTATATTTATTCAAATCAGGCATGGGGGCTAATGATTATACAAAGTAATTCATTGCACGGTCAATTACAATTAATTTTAATGTGTAATTGAGCAATAACCAATTACAAATACTTGTAATTGTAATTGAAGTTTTGCCAATTACAATTACTTGTAATTGTAATTTGATTTTCCAATTAAAATTACATGTAATTGTCATTAAGGTATTACTAATTACAAATTACATGTAATTATAAGGAACAAAATTCACAATTAGAAGTAATTGTAATTGGAAATTCTTCAATTACAATTACAAGTAATTGTAATTGACAAAAAAGCAATTACCATTACAAGTAATTGTAATTGGCAAATATCAATTACAATTACAAGTAATTGTAAAAACTTCAATTGCAATTACAAATAATTGTAATTGGAAAAACTTCAATTGCAATTGCTTGTAATGTAGTCAATACCCCCCAACCCTGATTCAAATTTAGTTGGTTTTTTAAAGATATGTACACACTTTAAGTTTGTTCCATGCACACAATGCTTCATGTGCACAATTGAACACACAGATATGTACATTAGGAGAGCTCCCAAAATGGAAGTTGTTCATGTTTCCAGCGAAAATTAAAATTTAGTTTACTCTATTTGGTGAGCTGGATCAAAGGATAAGAAGGTAATTTTTTGAGAAGTTTATACTCATATGAAAAGCGCTTTCAATGTCAAACGTGCGATTATAAAAGTATTAAATAATTTTTAATATTTTTTCCAGACAATTTTAGGTTAAATTATTTTGATGGAAGGATGTATCAACATCAAATCCAAAGAAATACCCCTAGACCACTATCGGGCCTGTTCTGCGCTCCTTTTCATGGAAAATGTTCTTCTTTCCTACACAGAGGGAAAAAGAAATATACACGCTTGGTACCAAATTGCCACCAAAGAGTTTGTAATTTTTCAATAACAACCGTTGTCAAAGTATATACATACGTACGACAACACTATGTCGCAACGTTGTCAACATTGCAACAATTCGTTGTCGAAATCTAAATTTTTTACACATACGTTGTCTAAATGTTAACAAACGTGGTAAGTTCACTATTGCAAACAATCCGTTGCCAATAGTACACTGCAGAGCATATATAACCCTCACCTATGTTTAAAGACTGAGGTAACTTAGAGCTCTCCCAATGCTGGCATGCATGCGAAGGCCAAGGTACGCACCTCGGTAATAGTCTTTTGCTCACGATTGCGGTATGATCAAAACTTGCCGCTGGTACTGGATTATTTAGGCCATGCACTTTAATATTATTATTGGTACGCGGGAAATAAAAGATTCCCAGATGGTGGAAAGTCTTCCACCATCACCACCCCCTATCCGCCAACCGGAGACGCGCTCGGTAGGAAAAACTAAAAAAAATCTCCCTCGAATTTTAAAATTTTCAATATTTTTGAACTAGCATAAACATTTTTAATGTGCCATTGAAAGCATCTCCCAAATCTTCTTCATATAATATGCGAATTTCATATCATATCTTTGTGTGACATATAAAATTAATTGAAAAAGAACACTTAAAAGGGATCCTTTTATTATTTTTTAGCTCACCAAAACTTTAACCCCAGGACAAACATTTTAACTAAACATTAATTTTCGGTGGGAACATCAGTACCTTATTTGTTCCCCTTACAAACAGTTCACCCTAATGTATATAAATAAGTGCGGTACAATAGATTTGTTTAACATTGTATGAGGAAAACTCTCCGCTATTTACCTTCTTAGAGAATATTTTTTGTAAATACTTAAAGTACTCCGAATATACAGTATTTTTGAGATTTAATAAAGCTATTTGTCAAATTTCGTGGCTTTCGAACAATATAAACAAAAGGTAAGAAGATACAATACATAATTCAGAATTACAAAACTGCACTCTTTAAATTTTCTCAAATATACTTGTTTTACTTACATATTTAATAGCAATAAGACAAAAATGTAAATGTGAAACAACATATAATCAAGTTAGAGTACTATATTCGGCTATGACAAATATTAAATACCCTCCACTCATACATTTTATGTTGTGAACCGATTTTCTTGATTATCAATAGCAACCAGCTTAGGATAATAATTAATAGTTTCAGTGAAATTGATTTCTTTTGGTTTGTTTTAAAGTGGGCGTGTTTGAGGCAGACAGACAGACGGACAAACACAACACATGCAAAGGACAACCTAATTGTTATCGACGAATTTGAACGTTGGTCCAAAGCCATTCCCATTCCTGACATGTTTGATGAGCCGGTAACAAATGCTCTGGTGACCCATTGGATATACAGATTTGGAGTACCATTTCTAATCACGTCCGACTGAGGTAGGCAATATCATTCCGTGCTGATCCAAACTATAGGAGATCTGCTGAACTTGTTTATGGAACAATATTGAGGAATTCCGAATTTGTCTTAAAAAGCAATTCTAGAGAAACCTGCAGTGTCTTTGTGACAGAATTTCGAACAGAAATGGAAAATCTTCGACCTACGCAAACAACACATCACTCAACTAAAACAACTTTCTTTTCAAAAGATCTCACACGACTTTGTACGTAAACTTCGAGTATGATTTAGATGACCTCTCTCCAGTGAGGGGAGTGATGGGGCACCCTTTCATAATTAACAACTATATTCAGTATGAAAATCCGGTATGCAATAAATTACAATGCACTTTAACAACCAAGTGACATATCTACTTTAAATATTTTTTAAATACCAAAAATCAGAGAAAGGTTGCCAAATAAACCTTTAAGAAAATGTTGAAAATCATTATGCAAAAATTAAGTTCAAATCCATGTTATGCATATGTATGTATGTGTAAGATAAATAAATGAAATCGTTGAAATTATTTTTCATCTGTCATAAAATTGCATTATAATGGCAACTCTACGCACATCTCAACCATTGGTATGACAAATGCAATGGTATTCACTAGTTTTATTACGTTTGGATTTACGACTTGAAATTTATTACCAGAATTAAAAAAATATATAAATGATACCACCATTATACGACATCCCACATACACAAATCCACAGAAATGTACATTTATATCTTAATTCATAGAACACATACACAAATCCACAGAAATATACATTTATATCTTAATTCATAGAACACCAATCTTTTGTTCAAACTTCTGATATACATACATATGTATAAGAGAATACATACCTTCTGTGGAGGAAAAAAGTAAATGAATGAAATTCTTTAAAATAAAAACCGAATTATTGCAAAGTATCAGACTTAAAACAAACAAGAAACTATGGAAAAATAACATTTCATCCTTTAAAGGAGAAAAAGTAATACCATAACAATAAGTACAAATACATACATGTACACACCTACATATATATAATGAGTGATATATCTGATAGTATGTGAAGGATAATACCAGATGCAATGTAAACTGTTAATGAATATATCGTCACAGGAAATATGTTTGTGATAGGAATATATCATGCACTTATTCTGAAGCCGTTCACTATACGAAAAAATCAAATTAACTTACATACCAAGTTAATTGCACTATATGTATACATACATATGTATATTATTAATTTTCTTATTTTTCATGAAGGTCCTTTCTGACATGCCTCGGTAGAGCTTCCAACTGTGTGGTGTTGAAATTAGGACCTACAGCTGTATTACTGGGTTTATAACTTCATACCTGAAAGCGCTCCTCTGCCAGGAACTCGCAGAAGTTGGCGCAGTTACCTATAATCTTCAATTTGTTATGTCAGTAACGTTCATCATTTTCTAGTCTAGTGTGTCGGAGAGATGGCGTTAAATTCCCAAGGACCAGACATCGTCCAGTAGCGTCCTAGTATCGGGTCGATAGACTGATGGAATCTAAGTCGATTAAATTCTGAGACATTGGTCTTCAGCGTTGAGACATGGTTTAGTTCTGAACCAAAAATAAAATTGGTTTGGTTCTGCACTATAAAGAGGTTTATCTTGAGTAATTTGATCTGGAGGTCATGTTAGTTGAATGTATCACTCAAGGTCTTCAAAACGTTGCTGTAGATGTTGTACTTGCTCGGGTTTTTGCAATTGAAATGTAAAGGAGGATTTTGTGTCGTATTATCGATGTTGTTGTTGATAGCCTAGAACGAACAAATTAATTTTTAATCCTCAGCAGTTTCTGAGGTTACACCAGCCCAAACATCGGATGCACATAGGAAAATTAATCCATTTCATAATTTTCTCTTGGAAACCTGTATTAGGTTGTACATATTTATAGTATTATTAAAATAAAAATCTTATACCCTTTTCCTTTTCAAGTAACGATTTCCATTATGTGTAAAATGTGCAATAATGTTATTTTTAAGAAGGATATATACGATTTTTCTTTGATTTGGAGCGGAATTTAAATCTTAGTATTCTATATAACTACATACATATTTCGTAATGCTATTTCTTAATAAAATGGTTAACGTTTCTTAAGCGCATCAGACTATTAAAATGTTTAAATAGTCTTATGTAGCAAAATCTTGAATTTCTTAATGTGGGCGGAATAATCGGAGGTCTCATCAGAGTACATTTCGAATTGCACCCAATGAGGGAAAATAAGACCGAATTGGTTCCATTGTTTTTTTATAAGCATTAAAATAATTTGCAGTTTATGGCCATTAAATTATACATACATACATATGTATGTATATTCAACGGAAGATAATAGTTCGTGTGCTGTTATTTTAAGTTCAAACAAAAGTAAAATTCGTTAATTCCTTATAAACCACAATTTTACATACATACAATAAGGAAATGATTTTACAGTAAAGTACTAAAGTGTTATATTAATAGTAGTGGCATATAGACTTGAATTCTAAGCGAGATAAAGGTCTCAAAACATTTTTTCTACATTTCGCTTAGTATAAAAATGACATTTGGTATATCTTGATTGGCTCAAAATAAGTAAAAATACTTGATTCAAGTACGAATCGATTAAGTACGTAAAACCTAATTTAATCATTTTTTAGATCAAACTGATCTTACAATTTCGGCCCAGAAATAGTGGGCGGGCACCACTCATACAAACTTAGTAAACTATAAAATATACCATCAAAATGAGCGCACCCCCAGTGGCGGAGAAATTCAAAAGAATCGCATGTTTCCCTAAGGATAAAGGAAACATTAGGTCCAATAAATACCGTTCTGGGCCAATAAATATAGTTTGCCAGACAATCTATTCTTTCATTGGCAGAGCTACCTTCATGACAGGGTACCCAACATAATGTGAGTTTGTGATGCATACCCAGTTCATTTAGAGATGTCAAACAATCAAGTACGACACCCGGCCTGATCATATGATAGTAACGTCTTAGGGCCGCCTGACTATCAGACATCACAAATATATTTAATCATATCAGTTTTCTTCTCTAATGCAAGTGGTAATTGTGTATACTTCTGCCTGAAAGATTGAAGATTATGTTTTTTTTAGAAAATTTGGGCCATATATTTCCGCTTCAGTATTGCCATTTATCCGTTTGGAACCATCGGTAAGCCATTTTTGATCAGCATGTATTTATAATACTTATGTGTTCCACCAAGATGCCAGCATTTAAATTAGTAACTTCTGGTAGGCGAAGTGCAGATTTGCACGCATCATCCTTTATGAGTACGAAGAGCATATGTGGGACACAAATGAGATGATAAATTTAGTCCAGTGAAGCCATTATAGTAACCTCATCTATCTCCTTCCACCATGCCAGAAGATCATTTTCGGTTTAAAGCCCCACTTTCTACCAACAAGTCTGTTACAATTGGATAACTGATATCGCAAGTTTCCAGTCTTAGAGAGTTTTATTGATGAACTCCAGGTTTTTAACATTGTTCGAGAATTTAATAATAGAGCCATTAAAAACTGGCTCGACAAATTTCAGAGATTTACGTCTTGTGAGTGGTACGAGGATAGTTTCTGATGAATTGATTGCCAGTCCTCTTTCCTTACAGATATGGTTTTATCATCAGATCCTATTACATACATATATAATTAGATCATCAGCGTAACCTTATGTTCGGAAACTCAAGTCGTTATGTCTTTCCAGTAAGCTGTTGATAGGGGCGATAATACACCTCCTTGAGGACAGCCTCTGGTGGCCCAGATGGTTATCGATATACCACATATGTAAGTCAAAGCCAATGACTCTAGATGTCAGCATCCAGTTTATAATAACTGCCGCGACTAGTTTTCTTTCAAGCGCCTAGCCAATGGCATTATAAGACGCATTATCAAAGGCTTTTTGAATGTCAATAAATGAGCTCTGGGCTATTTAGTTGAAGCCTAAAGCCTTCTCAATTAAGGTTTATGTTCAAAGTTTAGAAAATCTGATCAGATACTTATTAAAACACAAACTTTTGTAATTTACTGTAGGCAGGAGTACGTAATACAATAAATAAGCAAACTTTTAACGTAACTTACTTTCCAATTCGTAATATTCATCATCCGGCTTTCCTCCATTAATGTGTATTTTCGCCATACGTCTTGCACACTGATCCTCATCAAGACGTACAATGGATTTTAAAAATTCCATCATTTCTTCTTGTGTTTCATGCCACATTGTTGCACAAATAATAAGCTGTGGGATTTTGTCTGTTTCCTGAATATCTGTAGAGGCTGCATTTCCGTTCTCAGTCATATTGTTGTCCTTCTGTAATGATGTGAAAATGATTTTTATTGAATTTTAGACCAAAATACTTTTGAAAAATAAATAATTACTCTGTGATACAAAAGTGAAGTGTATCGCTGTGTTATTTAATGAATAATTAAATATGAAAAAATAAATTGTTGCAAAGAAACGTCTGGAAAAAATTAAATTATTGGCTCAACAGCCAAAACGATTAACTGCACTTTTCTGATTTATGGATTTTTGATTCCAGAGTACATAATATTTAAATATTTTCTCTCATAATTATAATTATTTTTAACTTCAAAGAAAGAAAAAATTTTAGCCACTGAATCCAATGGGATTAACATTACAATTACAATGTTTTTATACCCTCCACCACCATCAGTGGTAATAGAGGGTATATATAAGTTTGTCGTTCCGTGTGTAACACCAAGAAGTATTCATCTAAGACCCAATAAAATATATATATATATATATATATATATATATATATATATATATATATATATATATATATATATATTCTGGGTCCTTATCAAATTCTGAGTCGATTTAGCTATGTCCGTCTGTCTGTCTGTGTAAAACACGCTCACGTTAAAACTAAGAAAAGAAAATCGACCAAATTTACCCAAAATATTTATTATTATCCTAAGCCGTTTGGTATTGAAAATCAGCAAAATCGGTTCAGCACGTAAAAAGTTATGAGTAAAAATTTTAGACTACCTCGAAAAAAATTCCGTTTTTTTCCTAATTCTTTTGAAGTTTTCTCAGAAACTACCAAAGATATTTCGATGAATTTTATCACAGATTATTTTTTCAAGGAAGTGATCAATTATGTTCAAAATCTTTGCATATTTCCCATAGCTCCCATACAAAAATATATATTCCCGGAAATCAGTTTATCATTAATAACTCCCTCAAATATATCGGTATCAACACAAAATTTTGTACATGCAAATATAATATGAACAGAAATCATACTATCAACGTAGATCTCAGTCGGTCCACAATTGGTCATAGGTCCCATATAAGGCCAACTTCCGTAAATCATTTAAAAGCTCATATTTCATTGTCAAACAAAGCTATCTTGATAAAATTCGACACAAATATGTTTAGTCTAAATATAAATCACTCTACGAAATAGCTCCCATATAAGGCCCACTTCCGAAAATCACTTAAAAGCACATATTTCATTGTCAAATAAAGCTATCTTGATAAAATTCGCCACAAATATGTTTTGTCTTTATGTGAGTCACTCTACGAAATTTTTTCCGGATAAGCTCATAATTGGTCATAGCTCCCATATAAGGTCCACTTCCGAAAATCACTTAAACGCATATATTTCATTAAATTCTAAAGCTATAAGAATAAAATTCGACTTGAATATGTATTGTGTACATATACATCATTCTACCACTTTTTTCCCGGATCGGTCCATTATTGGTCATAGCTCCCATATAAGTCCCACTTCCGAAAATACTTAGCTCCTTCACGTATGCGGGACACCGGTGTACCAAGATTTTTTTTTTTATTTTTCTCCATTTTGAGCGTAATTTTGAGTTCACGGCTACATTAAATGGTTATTTCCAAAGAAAAATAAGTTATATTTTAGAATTTGATGTCACTACATGCTAAAAAGGATAATATCCTGCGATATCCTTCGAAAACACTTTTTCCATTTTTCATCAAAAATGATCAAAATAAAGTGTGTGGTGAAATCATTGTCAAATAAAGTTATCTTGGTAAAATTCCACACAAATATGTTTTGTCTTTATATGAATCACTCTACGAAATTTTTTCCGAATAGGCTCCCATAGAGGGTCCACTTACGAAAATCACTTAAACGCATATATTTCTTTGAATAATAAAGCTATCAGGATAAAGTACGACTTGAATATGGTTTGTGAGCATATAAATCATTCTACCAAATTTTTTCCGGATTGGTCCATATATGGTAATAGCTCCTATATAAGGTCCACTTTAAAAAAATTAAAAGCACATATTTCATTATCAAATAAAGATATCTTGATAAAATTCGACACAAATATGTTTTGTGTAAGGTTATAGCTGCTATACATACATATAAAGTCCACTTCCGAAAATCACCTAAACGCATATATTTCATCAATTAATAAATCTATTGTAGTAAAATTCTACTTGATTTTCTTGGCATATAAATCATTATACGAATCATTCTACAGAATTTTTTCCGGATCGGTCCATAAGTTGTCTTAGCTCCCATATAAGGTATACTTCTGAAAATCACTTAATACCACTTAATTCGTTATTAAATGATTATATCCGGATAAAGTTTAAAATGAATATGTTCTGTGTATAGATAAATCATTCTATTAAAATGTTTTCGAACTGGCCCATTAATATAAATTTGTCTGGACCTAATTAAAATTAGTTTGACATATGCAAAATTTTGATAAGTTATCTAAAGATTAGATAGTTAAATGGGTTTTAATAAAAAGTAGCTTGCTGGTGAAGGGTATTTAAGCTAATTGACCTAATGCATGCATTTATGCATTTGCCATTTATGATAATAGTTTCATAAAAAAATATCTTGCTGCAGTTAGAAAATGATCACAAAATTTGCATGCAAATGCAACCAGCTCACCTTAATGGATAGATACTCTTCATTCCAATCCACAATGCGTCTATTTAATGTTATACATTGTTCGACCAAAAAACCACAATACCACGGACAAATGAACAGTTTTTCGGTGGGTAAATTTTTATCATTTTTCGGACGCCATATATGATTTGTTATCCACAATTGTGACAGCCACCACAACAACCATATCCAAAGATAATCTTTAGCGACCACGTTAAAAAAACTCCATGCATTGCGACCGAAGCCCAGTGACGTTGCAGCTTTGAAGGACAGATAATCTGGAATGTATTCATCAAGTGAACACACGTCTGTTTCGCGCAGCCACGTTAGAGCGACTGTGGCAGCCACAGCAAGTGGTGTAGCTAGGCTGAGTGGCAAAGCATAGCTGAACTCCTGGATTTTTATTTTACATGCAAATTTTCCAAAAATATAACATAAATATGATGATGCCACTTGTATGAGAAGGATATAAAGAGGCGCATTTATGTTTGATTGAATTATAAAGTTTTCTGTTGTTTTTGTTGTTAATGAGTTTGATGGCGCTGTGGACGAAACGTTTGCCTGTAAATATTTATGATTTCGTTAAATTATGCGTAACAAATGAATTTGAGAGAATAACAAAGAATAATACTTAATGTACAAAGTAAAACTTTAATTTAAATATCGGTTTCAAAGGCTATATACATAAATGTTGTAAAGATTGTTGTTAACGTTGCCATTGTTGCCGACTTTCTTAAAGTATCGATTACAAAAAACCCATTAAATCATTGTTTATTATAAGAACAAATACATAGAACGTGCACGAGTAAATATAAAACAAATTGTAAATAATTTAAAACAAAATTGTTTAAATTTACTTTTATAAATATTTAAATGACTTTATTTGAAACTCATTAAATTTATATCTAAATGGAAATTATATTGTTTAAGTGTTTTTATGTATTATATTAAAAGCAAATTATTAATTAAGGTTTATTAATACCTTTTAATATTGCAGTTCTCTTAAATGTATAAGTCCTTCATAATCGAGAATGGGGGGGCAAATAAATCACACATTTTATCTCAGTCTAAACTAGGCTAAACTAAACTAATCAAGTTTTGAAGTAAAATACCATAGATAACAGCTTTCATAAAGGTTGTCAGATCTGGCAATGACAACGATTGTTGGCAAATTGTTAGCAACAGGTAAATTGTCAGTTCAGACTATTGTAAGAAAACCTTTCAATTTCATTGCCAGACAATAAATTTATCTGCCAATAAAAGTTGTCAGTTCACACTGTTGTCAGATTCTTTAATGTCAAAAGTTGCCAGATCATATTTTAGCTGCATATGTTCTTTTAATGCATAATTTTGACAAAAGAAAACATTTATCTGACAATGTCAGATGTATAAAATTCGCACATATGACAATAAAAATTGTCAGACAATTATTTGTCATTATGTGATTACACGATTGTTAGATATCGACAACATTATTGTTTTAAAATATACTGACAATGCTTTTTCTGACAACAGTGCAAGACAAGAATTGTAAGTTTACACAGTTGTTAGACATTTTCTGAATATTTTTCTAATAACATTGTAAGATCTGACAATCGTGTATATGTATATAGCTTAAACCGTTTGTAAGAGTTAGTGGTAAGTAGATCTTAAGAACGAAAGGATATTAATTATGTATTGTCAATATTTCACCATCGATTCGCTATATTAATATTGTCAATATACAATGTGTTTACCAGACAATTTAAAACCAAATTTACCGTGGTTTTTTCTTATTTCTGTTTTTTGCAATTTGATAACTATGAATCGATTCTTTCTTTGTGATTTTTTTTTCTGTTTGATTTTCAACCATCCATTCGTACCATTAGCATTTATAAAGTTAAGCATTAATGTCTGTATGTTTGTGTGTGTGTATGTGTGTACATTACCCTTTTTACTACAATTTCATGTGGATTCCATGCTTCGGTAAACATTGAAAAATATTCCTCTATGGGTTGACCATGAAAGCTGAATGCAATTAAAGCAAATACAACCATTTTTATTGGCGATAAATACAAATATGTATGATATCGAGACTTGGTTCGTCGTACCATTTTTATCAAGTTTGCTAAAATAAAAAGAATGAAAAGTAGAAAAGAATGTAAAAACAACCAAAAAAATAAGAACAAAACAAATAGAATTTAAGAATAAAACAAGCAAAATAAATTAAGATAATATTGAATTTGCAATTAAGACAACTTAGGATGCCCTATTATGAAATGAAATTATACGTTCTCTTAAATGTTGGCACGACACTAGACCCACCATATAAAAAATGATATAAAATAAACGGACTAGCTTTAGTGTATGAGATACTATTAGAGCTAAAGTCCTCATATTTTGCATAAAGAACATTGACATCCATGTGAACAATTGAGGACGAATGTGCGGAACTTTCAAGTTGGAGTGATTTTTGGAAATAGACCTTTTAAGGGAGCTACGACTAATTATGAACTAAACTAAGAAATGCTAATTCGTGAAAATCCGTTTCAGGTTCTTCAAAGTCGTCTTACTCAAAAATATATTTTTAAATTAAGACCCTTTAATTGCAATTAAGCGATAAGTATGAATAACAAAATTAACATCTTTAATCCAATTTAATTTTTACGTAAATTGTTTAAAATAATGCAGAATAGTGTAGGGCAAAATAAACAAACATCTGTGGTGCATGAAATATTGATATCAATATTATCAATTTAGTGTACAAACCTATGCTCGAATATGAATTGATATAATTCTCCCACCAACGGAATGATATTAATATTAATGGAATTGCCAATATTTGCACTTCTAGTGAATCGTTGATGGCTGGCCACAAAACAAATGCTGTTGCTTGTGCAATCAAAGCCAAAATACTAATGGAATAGACAGCTATAGATTTCCAATGTTTGTGGGTTCCCATTAAAATATCTGCAATGAAAATTGTATAATTTAATTAAATTGAACCATGTGAGAATAAAAATAAAATTTTTTATGAACTAATATTAGTTTTTTACTTATTAACCTTAAGGATAAAATGAATTTATATTTATTTGGATTATAAGTTTATGTAATTAATTTTATTGAATAGTTTTTCTTCTATATATAGGCTATTTGACATTCCTATTGTAGCTGTACTTTAGACTAGCTATTAGGAACAATTTACCGCCTCCTAGGACAAGCCCATGATAAAATAACTAGCTATATAGCTAGTAAAAAAATTAGTGAGGTGATTCCTCGTAATCGATGTGTGCATGGTCATACATTCACTTCTCGGGACTCTTTTAATGACTGTCTCTTTGTAATCTATAAAGTAACGATTGATTTCCTAAGTAGCCTGGTCTCTAAGGGTAACCACAAGTTATAAGTTAAATGACTAGTTCCGGACTGTACTCCCGAACAAACACAAAATTAACAAGTAAGAAAGTATAGTCGGACGTGGCCGACCATATGATACCCTACACCAGTTATGAATATTAAATGTGATTTATTTTTCATAATAAAGCATTTATCATCAATATTCCCTTGTTCCGATACATTTAAGCAATTTATGGATGAAAAACTAATTTTCTGAAAGAGGCTTTATATGGGGGCTAGGGGCAAATATGGACCAAGCCCGATACAATTTTGTGAATATATTTATATTTACATAATATGTTATTGTGGTGTATTTCATCGCGATATTTGTGTTTATAAGTTAATTTGGGACATTCAAGTAATTTTCTGAAGGGGACTTTGTATGGGAGCTAGGGTCAAATGGGGCCGTATTTTATCGATATATCTGTATATTTAACATAATTATGAGCTCAGAAGCCCTTTTCGGGGGGTTCTATTCTATGGGGGCTAGGTGAAATAATGGGACGTGCGTGCCAAATTTCATCCAAGTATCTTGAAAATTGCGACCTGTACCTTGCGCACAAGGTTTCCATGGACAGCCAGCCAGCCAGACGGACGGACGGACATAGCTTAATCGACTCAGAAAACGATTCTAAGCCGATTGGTATACTTTAAGGTGGGTCTATATATATTTTTGTATGTTACAAACATCAGCACAAATCCAATATACCCTCCCCACTAAAGTGGTGTAGGGTATAACAATAAATAGTACAAATGATTAAGTTCGTGTAGAGTAATATTTAAGAAGTTAAAAAAAAACAATCAAGAAATTATAGTCGGGCGATGTCGACTATATAGAGGCTAGGGTCAAATGAGGCCCTATTATCAGAAAATTCATCAGGGTCCGCTAGGCTAGTATAGAACTTGGTTTTGCAGCTTTTTGTCTTGATACGGGTATATTAAACATAACTATAAACTTAAAGGCCCTATTCGGGGGTTCAGTTGTATGGGGCCTAGGTGAAATAATGGACCTATGTTAACTATTTTCAATAGGCTTTGCCTATAGTACTATGGAAGATCATGTGCTAAATTTCATTGAATTATCTTCAAAATTGCGATCTGTAGTTTGATTTCTGATGCAATAGAAGATCATGTACCAAATTATATTGAATTATCTTCAAAATTGCGACAAGCTAAATCGACTCAGAAAATGATTCTAAACCGATTGGTATACTTTAATATACCCCACTAAAATGGTGTAGGGTATAATAATTATAATACCTATATTAGTCTAAAAACTTACTTAAAACAGCAGGTACAAAACAAACACTGTTACATAACAGCAAAGCCTTTGTCGAATCCAAACGGGGAAACACAAAAAATGTCAATATTCCCAAACCGATTACATGAAGCAATTCAAATGACACCACCTAAAAGAAACAAACGCAGTTCAAAGAAATTTGTTTGATATATGATTTAACTGGGGAATTAAGATAATTTTTATGAATGATGACCACAATCTCAGGTAAGTTGTTTCATTAATTACATTAGGCAAGATGATGTACACGGACCTCGTTTTTAATACATGTATCGCTCATTTACTGCAAGACCGCCTTAAATCAAAAAACTTCGTTTTGAGTAAAACAGCATTAAATGTTTTACGACATTTTACTATTATTTAAATAACTTTCAAATATGTAAATTTAAACCAGATCTATAAAGTAGGTGTTAATACCTTTCTCATCTAAACATAAAATCGATTTTTAATTATCACACACAAGTACGTGAGAACTTGTGGTTTTGACGTTTACAACAAAAAATCACTCCTACACCGAAAATAATAGACATTTTTGAAAATATATAAAACTATATGAAAGTCTTAAAAATGATACATATTTTCTGGTACTCAGTTCATAAAACTCGAATTTTGAATTATGCCAGTCTTGTAGTAAATGAGCGATATGTATTTACATCTTTCAAAAGACATAGGTTTATCAAGTTGATTATAATAAAATGATTATTATATTAAGTTTTTTAAAACATACCAATAATACTTCGGGCCATGTCGGCGACTTTACATCCTTGAAAATACAAATGCGTAAAGATCGGAAAAATGTAAAGACTTCTGGGGCCGAAAATGCTAATATTAAAGACCAAATCCAAACAAGTTGTTCCTTAACCGGAAGTTCTACATAATAGTCACCCTTCAAATCTGCAATAAATTATAAATAGGTTTTTAAATATTGAATGATACAATGTGAAATGATTACAAAACTAACCGATAATGTTGCAATATTTAACTGTAGTGTTAGATTTTATATGAGCCACCATAAAAATGTATGACATTTTAGATAAAACTGCAGTTGTCAAAATAATTATGAACACATACAGATACGTAAACATTTTGAAGAGCTTTAAGAAAAAACCCAACTTTGTCCAGTTAGCAGCAGAACCGGTGGCTCTTTTTGAAGGGGGATCTTGAAATGAATCCCATAATGGCGGTTTCTCTTTATTCTTCCTATTGAGTAATTTTAGTTTTATTTTTGGATTATATTATTAACTACATATTATTAACAACTACTTTACCGATTTCTATTAAAATTATCATCATCTCCATCACCTTCCCAATTCATATTATATATTACTTTAATTTAATTTCACTTTGTTTTTTTGTTAATTGTTTAAATCAATTTTATTGTATTTTTTCCTACGTTTAGTTAGGAAGTGTTCACTTTGAAATATAATAAAAAACTGAAAATAATTGATAATGATCAAAAACATTCAGATGTTATTGGCAGCATATTATTTTATCTTTTAGTTTATTGTAAGATAAAGACTGTAATTGTCGGTTTGGTTCAATATAAAATAAAATACATATTTTTAAAATAAGAAATATTTTTATTATAAATGCATTCATGCATATACTACACACACATACATATGTTTGTATAATGAATATATGTATGTATTATTTATATATACACCTGTTATGTTATTTTATCTTTTAAAAAATAAAATAAAATAAATATATTGATAAAATGTCTTTAATACTTAAATATTGATATTTAAAGAAAATGAAACATGTTTACAAGTTTTGCAAAGGGGATTTTTTATTATTACTTCTTATATTAAAGCCCTGTTGAAAGTTTGTAATTATTAAACCCAAATAAGTACAGCATATCTCAAAAGTACTTTTTATATGCCAAAAATAAAGTATTCAAATAAATACTAAAATTTCATGTTTTGCATCAATTTTAATAATTACATGCAATTCGTATAACTTATATAAAAATGTTTAAAATCATAGCAGGGAAGGCGGAATTATGATATGGGGTGCCATACCCTAATATAGCACTAACAAGTTGGTATTTAAAAAAATTACTGGAGTATCATACCAAAGGGTATTAGACGGCGCTTTTCCTCAATTTAAAAACTTATCTGGACCCATTTTTTGGTCGCACCAACATGTCAATGCTCCAATTCACACTGTAAAACAGTGGATTCTTTAGAAAGTTGTAGAACTTTTAAGTTTCCCTCTACATTTTCTAGATCTTAATATAACGGAGTGGCCTCCGGTAGGTTAGTGTTATAGACTTTTAGATTGGAGCTGGTGGGTTAGATTCCCACCTGAGGCACTGGTAAAGGAGCGCACATCAGGCCCGAAAGAGGCCTAGGTGTATTTTTTCGGATTTGATGTATATATGTACATGCTCCTTTCAAACTAACTAAAAAGTCTACGATTTCTAATTATTATTGATGGAAAGAACGCTTTATAGGAACCCGAGAAGTACCGAGAAGTTGCTTCAAGTATAAAGGGACATAATATTAAGAATATACCTGCTGTTGAAGATTCAATAGCTGGTCATTAAAAAAATAGAGAAATTTTTTGTAAAGTTGTAAGTAAATGTTTCGAAGTTTTATGCCCAATCGCTAAGGTAAAGAAAAGCTTCCCTCAAAGGTGGAACTCGGAGCTATCTGAGCTACTTAAAGAAAAACCTAGAGCCTGTCATCCAAGGTTTACAATAGTAAACTAAAGCTTTTAAGAAAGCTTGACCAGTCGCAAAAAGAACCTCATGAAGAAGCTAAGCAAAATTCTTGATAAGGTCCAATCAAATCTAATTCAAAGGGAAAACCGATTCTTGTAAAATGGGGACTTAGCCCAAACATGTTTTAGGACTAAGTGCCCTTCACGAAGGGTAGTCATCTTGTCGCGATGTGAAGGCTTAAGTGCAGTGAATCCTATGGGCCATGCTGACATAACCAGCTCTGCCCAAACTGGCTGGCTTCAAGGGGTCACCCTTGTCAGAAGGGTCATAGGACGAGCACGATTCTAAGAACTACCCCTACCACCTGACAGACATCTGTTTCCCATATTGAGCGGTCTGTCAGTACTCGCTCTATTGATCGCTTCTCCTATCGCTGAGATAGGGCGATTGAGAAAGGAGTCCGACTGGACGTGGATGCACGTCCGAAACCCATCAAGCGTCTGTTCGATATCGGGCGGCTTGATGGTCTGTTCCATCACAGAGAGACGACAGCTTATGTGTCCTGGCAGTAGGCAAAAAATTCACAAAACACGTTCTCGTAGGGCTTTTGCACACTGGCGTGCCGCCAAGCGCATTGTTGAGCGTCATGGCGCCAGGCCTAGTAATGCATTGTTCTCGTAGGGCTTTTGCACACCGGCGCGCCACCGAGCGCATTGTTGACCGTCATGGCGCCAAGCCTAGTAATGCATTGTCCAAGGACGAGAAATTGGGCCAAAAATATCCTGGCAAGACAAATGGACTCAGATCCTCCAGCCAATGCAGAAGTGACTTAGGATGAGGCGCCTAAACGGCAGAGATCCGCTGAACAGTTGACAGATCAGAAAAGTACGGCGACATTATCGTCTGGTGACGAATCTATTCAAGGGCCGGCAATTACATAGAAGATCAGTAATTGTTTCCTCCTCTTCCTTATTTTGACAGCTCCTACAAAAGTCATTGTGTGGAAGACCAATGCGTCTTGCATGGTTTCCGAACTTGGAATGACAAGTAAGAACTGCTAACAATGCCCTCAAATGTATTCTGCTTAGCCCTCATATATATGATGTTTTATGAGGATACAGCATCCTAGCGATTGAGCAAGTATGCTCTTGAGACCACCGGTCTTGAGCTGAGTTAAAACAAATTTTATATATTTGTTTCTAAATGACCGCTAGGGGGATGCCGCTGAACTGGTCTATATCCAATATGACCATCATCTTACCAGCTTTCGCTAAGATATCAGCAGTAATATTGCCAATTATATCCCCGTGTCCTTTGACCCAAACGAGGGTAATTCTTGAATGTTTCGCCATCTGATTAAGAGACGCCCGGCATTCTTGAACAAGTTTTAATGCAGAATATACACCTATCATTGATTTGATAGCGGCTTGGCTGTCAGTATAGATTCTGATATCCCTGTTGGATATCCGATAGTTCCTTAGCCAATTAGATGCCATTTTTATCGCTGAAATTTCAGCTTGTAAGATAGTGCATTCGTCATTGAGTCGGAAAAAGATTTTCGTTCCAAATTTGTCAATGAAGATGACACCACCGACACCCTTGCCATCAAAATTTACAGGTGTCGGTTCATTATAATCACAGAATATTCTCGTAATACACGATTCCGGAATACAGTAGTCAATGGTATGGTGTAGATTTGGAAGAAGATCTACAATCTTTGCATGACCTCTGGAACCAAAGTTTTATCTATTAGTCATACTTAATCTGGCTGCAGTACTTATTGTCGGTTGTTAAGCAAGGAGATCCATAGTAAGCCAGCTCAGCATAGCAAACAACGCTTTACTGGGCGTAGTCCTAAGAACACCTATTATGAGAAGAGCCGATTGTCTCATAACTTTCGTGAGAATGTTTCTGTTGGATGTTTTGTCATGTGCATACCACCATACGTCATCACCGGCTTAATCACCGCCTCATATAGCCAATTCACATTTCCTGGGTTGATACCCCAATACAGGCCAAGAGCATTTCTACAAACGTATAACGTCGTAATAGCTTTTGAAGATCTAGAGATAATATTCAAACCCCAATACAACTTCCTATCGAGAATAACACCTAAGTATTTTGCGCATTCCGACAGAGAGAATTGAGGAATTTTGTATTTGCCCGAAAAGTTCCGTTTTTCCTGGGTTAACGCTGAGACCGCAGTTTACGGCCCAAGAGCTTATTATCTTCAGTGCTTCTTCTAACCTCTAAGACAAGGTTTCAAGATGCGTACCAGTTACCGCTACTGCAACATCGTCAGCGTATGCAATCGTTTTAAAGCCTAGTGAATAAAGTCTAACTAAGAGTCCGTTTATTACCATATTCCATAGGACCGGGGATAACATTCTTCCTTGAGAAGTGCTCCGTATGGCTCTTTTGCCGATTGTTGTATCACCCAGTGAGAATACAATAATCCGTTGGGATAGCAAGTTCTTCACAAAACTCACGGTGAGTTGGTTCACACCCATCTGAGAGAGTGATTGACAGATAGTTGAGGATCCGACGTTACTAAAAGCGCCTTCGATGTCAAGAAAGGCAACCAGGGTGAAATTTCCATAACCCATGTACTTTTCTATATACCGAACCAGGGAATGTAAAGCCGTCTCAACAGATTTTCTTTCAATTTGTCAATTTATTATACCCCCACCACCATCAGTGGTGATAGAGGTTTGTCATTCCGTGTCCTTATAAAATTCTGAGTCGATTTAGCTATGTACGTCATATGTATGTATAGTAACATTTGTTAAATTTAGTTCGTTCTGTAACAGTCTGTTAAGCCTTTCGAAAGATAAAACAAAAATATTTTCACTTTAAAACAAAAAATTTATGTTATTAAAGAAGAATTAAGTCTACACGTTTTCCCCTTTTTACTCCTTTCTGGTCCAAGTTCCAAAAAAAGATATAGCATATGGACTCTTATAAATAAAGATTTATACATGTACTTGTAAATGCTCCACAAAACTTCAAACCCATTTTTACATGACATGAAAAATTCTAGAAGGGAGACGGGTCAAATTTTGCAAATTAATTTTTTTGGAGCAATAATTATTTGTACGACAGGAATATTTAGAAAATATTGTGAACCATAATACATACTTGATATGAAATAAAATGCTGCATACATATAGTTTTTATGACCTTATTGATAAGAACCAGTGATGTCACTAAAGGCTTTAGAAAGCATTAAAAAATAAGCCTTAAATTCTGTGTTTGGTATAATATTAATGGCAAATATGACACAATAATTATAAATTAAAAACATTGATATGTTGATGATATGAGATAATTTAGTTTTTCAAAAAGCGGTATCAAAAAATGGATTTTTTGGTTGTCAAAAAGCACTCGGATTAACACGAAAAGCTCTAAGTTGACAATACTAATAAGAATATTATAAGTAGCATGAGTAATAGTATGGCTTATAGTATCAAAATTTCATTATTTTTTGATTACTGAATGAATGGAAATTTTTAATAGATGTTTCAATTACATACGAAGTAGACATTGGTGTTACGAGAGAGAACATATTCTAACTCTTTCTCATAACAAACTTTTGCTTATATTTTTTCTGCAACAAACATATCAGAATACATCATTTGGATAGATTTGAATGAAACTAATTTTTCAATATGAATAACATTAAATTTAATTTTTCAAAAGCGACTATTTAAGTTAAGAAATGTTTACTGAACACTTTTTCCAAAAACCATTGGTAAATTTAATAACTGTTATTACAAACAAAATAGCGTAAACCAAAAATAAGCGGTTCCTAAATTTGCGGTGAGCAGAACCACACAGATCCTTTGGGTTAACCCTAACGAAAGCTGGACTAGAAACACAATATTACCGGCCCAACTATACAAAATTGAATGGATGGCTTCAGCGAATGTGGAACATGTGGAGAGGACAGTTCTGGAACAATTTGTTTGTCATTCCCAGGCTTAAATCGAAAATAGATCCAAATATCTATATAACATTCTGGACATAACATCCCGAACACTTTCTAACGCTAATGGCATCATAGATAACTATATATGGTTTTTTCCTGCCAATATATATCTTCTAGTATACATCCTCCTATCAACCTATAAAACGTCTATTGCATCAGATTGACCCTGTATAATTAATTTTCGACATATTTCCATTTGCGAATTTGAATAAAATTGTTATCATTTAGAATAATAAATATAATTTAAAAAAATTCCACAAAACTAAGTGCCGGTTTAATAAATCCGTTTCATTCGAGCACAAGCGATCGTGTACTACGTATAAAGCGTTTTGAGTACGCAGAAGAATAAAAATATTGTGTTGTTTTATAAAAAACAAAAACTATTTGTTTAATGTTTGTAATTGATAACGAGCTGTCTTTCTAATTTAATAACAACAAAATAATCACTTGCATTTCACATGTACACAGAAACACTTAAATGTATTTCTTGTTGTATCTTTATAATTATATTATGAACAATAACAAAATTTCAAGAAAATAAACTCAAACTCATACAAACATTTACATATTTATAATATGACGATATGCATGTATGTACTTTGAAATTGTCATTATCAGTAAAATGATGAGCTCCCTACATTTTACATCAGTGGCCTTAGTGCTGGACAGCGCCGCTTTAGTTTTAAACGATTTGTTAAACTGTTCAGTTTCACTTGATTCGGTTTAAAAGTGATGTGCGGAAAAAATCGTTGAAAAGCCAAAATAGAAAAGAAAATCCTTTAAAAAGAAAGTTCAGTGTAATAGTAATCTATTTTCTTTGTGTTTGCTGAGTGTTTCTTTTACTTTCTAAATTGATTTTTTCGTTCAATTTCTTAAACGTTAAACAACTTTTGTTGCCTTTCATAACAATAGGAAAGATTTCAAGTAATATTTGACAAAATGAATGTAATATTGAGAAAAAGTTTACAAATATCAAATGCTATAAAAACATCTTATTCGACAAATATTTGGAGAGCAGCCAGTATACAACCACCACGACAACCTGTAAGAAATGTTGCTTAGTGATAAGAAATGAAATTGAACAAAGAAATTGAAAAATATATAGATTTTTTTATACCGCACAAAGGCGTTATTTGGTCATCTGTATAATACCCTTCATTCTACACTCATTAAATTTTAAAAATATTTTGTGAACAATTATGATATTTAATAACTAAGTTTTAAACTAATTCCATTAACCCGAACTTTTGAAATTTGGCATACCTGCAACAATAATATATTCGAAAATTCTGAATTAAATTTTATGCAGTTCCTCTAGCCTGAGTAAGCTTGAATTTTGAAAATATGTAGACACCTGATGACAGTGCATATTCTAAACTAAATTTGAAGTCAAGTTCGAGTTAAATTCCTTCGAAGTGATAAATACTGAAGAAATATGCTCGAAAGTATGGATCAGGCTAAATGGTATAATTATGCAGAAAAGTAACTTAAAATTCAGTCCCAAGTCCATTTAGCTTTGCTATTAATATAGAAAAACAATATTGAAAAACGTAATTTGAATCTACAATCGGGAGATTTGTGATAGGTCAATATTTCAATTAAGTGGGTGACAACAAAATATAGAACATCGTCTTGAACAAAGAACAATCAATACATAAGATAATTATATGAACTTGAGTTCGTGTTCAGCTTGACGTCATCAATATTAATAAATGAAAATGTATTTCGTTTTTTTTATCTGTAAATTATTAATAAAATAATACATTTTCAAAAACAAATTTGTTACTCAATAAGTAAGAGTGTTATACTCGGCTGTGCCGAATCTCATATACCCACCATTAATCCGTATGCCGTAAAAGGAATGCTGATCAGGGTGATATTTGGAATATGGCCGAGCTCTTTTGAATTAACAAAATATTAATTAGATTCAGATAGATCAATTCTCATTAAATTCGGAATGAGGAATTATGTTCCAAAATATTAACTTTTTTTATGTCGATTTTCATCGCTGAACTCGAAATTTTCTGAATTCTTCTCATCAAATTTTCTGAAGAGGACCTTATATAAGGGGCAGGGTCAATTATTGACCAATCCTCACAACATTTTGTAGACCGATTTTGGTTCATATAAAACTTCTTTACATCGGATTTTTTGGCAAAAAAACGTACATATGTGCCTTTACATGTTGTGCGAAAGGTTTATATGAAGATCCAGCAAGCCGGACAGATGGACAGACGGACATGTCTTAATCAACTCAGAATCATTTTCTGATATTGGTCCTAGTTGGGTGTAGGACACAAACGCATAAACATAGTGGTATATGGTAGAAAAACCGATCTATTTGACATTTAAAAAATGAAAATTTTGAAAATAAAACTAATGGAAGTAAAATAGTTCAATTTTCATCGATCTTATATAGAAAATTTAAGAACAATTTAAATAATTTATTTATTGAACAACACAAATAATAACAAAGAACATAAATAAATTAATAAACATAAGTAACAGTAATAGAAAACTTGAAAAGATAAGACATATCTAATAGGTTCTAGGTGCAGGTGGTAATGCTTCAACCGAATCATCCAGTACTTTATCGATAACAGGTCTATATTTGATGGTGGTTTTGCCATTGCCCTCACACCAAATTAGTAAATGTTTACGCCAGTGTTGATCCAAGGGTTTCTTCGTTTGACCTTTAACATCTTTCGTATAATCGTATTCATCAATACGAAGCTTAAAATCTTCACGGGAATGAGCACCTCTTGATTCTTTGCGATGTTCCATAGATGTGACTGTTGCTATGGCATTAGTTAGTAGGTTTTGTAATTCGAGTGTTTCCATTAGATCTGTATTCCAAATCATACTTTTATCCACAACTTTAACATTATTAAATTCCTTATAGGTTTCTTGTATTAGTTTGCAACCCTCTATTAATAGTTTACCTTCGCGAAATACTGCTGCATGTTTAGTCATGATTTTTTGCATTTTTGTGCGTATCGTTGCTGGTGGTATATTGCCTTTACTGTGGCGCAATTTATCTAGCTTGGCAATTGAATATTCGCCTGTTGTTTGTTCAAGTGGTGGTAGTGGCTCTCCGGGTTTATTATTCTCAGCAATAGCATCAGCACACGCTTTGCCGAAGACCAGCAAATCCAAAAGTGAATTGGCACCCAGTCGGTTAGCTCCATGCACTGAAGCACAAGAACATTCTCCACAAGCATACAAACCCGGTATTATGATGTCTTTACCGTTATCATCAATACTTATTACTTGGCCCTTAAAATTAGTGGGAATACCACCCATGTTATAATGTACGGTTGGTAATACTGGAACAGGATCCTTCATAACATCCACATTAGCAAATATTTTAGCAGTAACTACTATACCAGGAAGTCGTTTTAGAATAACATCTTGCGGTAAGTGGTGTAGTTGCAAATGAACATGATCTTTTTCTGGACCACAGCCATTGCCGTTCAATACCTCGAGAGTCATTGCTCGAGCTACTACATCGCGCGAAGCTAAATCTTTTGCTTTGGGAGCATAACGTTCCATGAAACGCTCTCCTTTAGAATTAAGAAAAAATCCACCTTCACCTCGCACGCCTTCCGTAATAAGACAACCTGCTCCATATATACCAGTGGGATGAAATTGTACAAACTCCATATCTTGAAGTGGTAAGCCCTTGCGGGCTATCATTGCCGTACCATCTCCAGTACAAGTGTGACCATCAGTTGTCGAAAAATATGTGCGACCACTGCCTCCCGTAGCAATCACTGTATTCGGTGCTCGAAATCGATATATCAAACCATTTTCTAGATTCCAGGCAATAATTCCACAACACTTGCAATTTTCGAATAGCAAATCTAAGGCAAAACATTCGACAAAATACTGACAATCAAACGACAGCGATTGGCCATAGAGTGTATGAATTAGGGCATGGCCAGTTCGGTCACTAACAGCGCATGCTCTATGCGCCATACCGCCTTTACCGTATTTAAGGGTTTGGCCGCCAAAAGCACGTTGATAAATTTTACCATCAGCAGTGCGCGAGAAAGGCATTCCCCAATTTTCTAGCTCTAAAACAGCTTGAGGTGCAGCTCTACACATATAGTGAATAGCATCCTGATCGCCCAACCAATCGGACCCTTTAACTGTATCGTAAAAATGGTATCGCCAATCATCTTCTTCCATATTTCCTAAAGCCGCATTAATTCCTCCTTGCGCAGCCACTGTATGTGAACGTGTAGGAAAGAGTTTAGTTACAACAGCTGTTTTAAAACCTTCCTTAGCTAAGCCTAAAGCCGCCCTTAAACCAGCTCCACCTGCACCAACAACAATAGCATCGAAACTATAGTCAACCATTGGATAGTCTTTCCACAAATCTTTCGTTTTAACATCTGCTTTGTCTGTACCCCCGGATTTTACAGCAAACAGACGTCTTTGTGATCGAGCAATAGATAGAACAGCTGAAGCTTTTTTAGTGAACCGCATTTTTCAGTTTGAAAATCTAAATACAAATTGCTTTGATTTAGGAATTAAAACAAAACCCGGAATATAAATTGAATATAATAAAATACTGACGTTTCTTTATAATACAAGTTTTTTCCACACACACATTTCTATTAAAGATTAAAGGGGCCTGTAATTAGGGGCACAAAGCATAAATTTTGAAATATTTATATAAAATAGCTATATGTACAGATGTATGCGGATTTATTATGGCATTGGGACTGATCCCATGCTGCCTGTCTTTCCGCCACGGGGCTACTATGGCAAGAGATTAGATAGCTTGAGTATAGTACTTCAGTAAAGTGCTTGTACATGGACCGGCTCAGCCATGTACAAAAATTGCCACCTGAGTTCTTCATAGAAGGATTCAGGGGCGCGTGGTAGACCGTCTCAAGTCTACCCAGTGAGTGAAAAGGACCACCGTGAAATAAGGCCGTCAAGGCAGGTATTCACGTAAAGCACTCGACAATCTGATCTGCCCAATAAACGTCTGAAATGTTGAGGTTTAGTGTTGTAAATATGTATGTATGTATAAGATGAGCACATCTGATTTTGAACAAAATAAATTCTTTATTACACAATTTTAACTATTATCTGCTTTTGTCCTGTTGCTCAATACATTAAAACTGTATGAACAAGAAAAGTGATGTGCCATCAGGTGTCCTTTCATTTTAATTTATTAAAACTGTCTTAGTATTTTTGTTAAAGAAAATTGCATATCCTTTTGATTATTTCTTCTAAAATCACATTACGAGAAATTGGTCGCATAATAAAAAACTGAAAGTACCATTAAATTCTTCACGCCTCTTGAACGTTAAATGTTTTCTTCCTTCGTTATTTTTTGAGTACAAAAAGAAATGTCGTGGTAAACAGCATTTTACTAAAAATGAATGCATTTTTGTCTTGCAGTTGATGTGCATAAAAATAGATAAATAAAAATGCAAAAATTATTTAAGTATAAACAAGTAAGAAAGTATAGTCGGGCGTGGCCGACCATATGATACCCTACACCAGTTATGAATATTAAATGTGATTTATTTTTCATAATAAAGCATTTATCTTCAATATTCCCTTGTTCCGATACATTTAAGCAATTTATGGATGAAAATCTAATTTTCTGAAAGAGGCTTTATATGGGGGCTAGGGGCAAATATGGACCAAGCCCGATAAAATTTTGTGAATATATTTATATTTACATAATATTTTATTGTGCTAAATTTCATCGCGATATTTGTGTTTATAAGTTAATTTGGGACATTCAAGTAATTTTCTGAAGGGGACTTTGTATGGGAGCTAGGGTCAAATGGGGCCCGATCTTTATGAAATTTGGCAGGGTCATCCAGACTTCTATAAAACTTAGTTGTGCCGCATTTTATCGATATATCTGTAAATTTAACAAAATTATGAGCTCAAAAGCCCTTTTCGGGGGGTTCTGTTCTATGGGGGCTAGGTGAAATAATGGACCGATTTCAACCATTTTCAATAGGCTTCGTCCTTGGGTCAAATAAAACGTGCGTGCCAAATTTCATCCAATTATCTTGAAAATTGCGACCTGTACCTTGCGCACAAGGTTTACATGGACAGCCAGCCAGCCAGCCAGCCTGCCAGACGGACGGACGGACGGACATAGCTTAATCGACTCAGAAAACGATTCTAAGCCGATTGGTATACTTTAAGGTGGGTCTAGGACGAATATTTTTGTATGTTACAAACATCAGCACAAATCCAATATACCCTCCCCACTAAAGTGGTGTAGGGTATAAAAACACTCACTTGCTACAAGATTATCATAACTTAAAAATCTTAAAAATTGCTCCAAAAAAATCCTCGCTTGCGTGCTCTATTGTGGCTGATCTTGTCAATGCGTTTATCTAGAGAGAAATTCAATTTTTTCTTAAATATGTACTATATCTCGCTGCGTAAACAACATATGTATGTAATTCGTTTCAAAAAGCCATATTAGTGCAAAAACCAATAATTTTAAGTTATTACTATTTTGCTATAATTGCAACGTTTATATCTGCAAGAGATGCATGATTGTAAATATAGTAAAAAATCATACATTTTAAAAAGACCTATTTGCAATTTCTATTTTTGATGTTACCAAATAGTAATACCATTCACTGCCTGTTTCACAATATCGAAAACACATTTTATTTCTTATAAATATATTGAAGGTACATATGTATTTCAAGAAATGTACCTTTTATATACATATATTTTTCTTTCGCGAATCAAATGACAAAATAAAAAGCATTTAGGTCATTATGTAAAGAAACCGCTGTTGTTTGAATAAAAGAAACAGTTCTCACAAGAACCATATTTTCATCTACATTTTGCATTTTTTATGTGCTAAGAAAATATAACACTTTTATATTTTCTTATTTGTTTTTCATTCAAGTGATAAGCAAATCAATTTCCTAAAAATTTTCTTGTTTTTTTAGAAGGATTCTCTTTATTTTACATGTATGCATACTAGAGTGTCCCACACTAATGCAATAAAATTCGTTCGTTTTACGGACAAAAATACAAATGTATAATTATTTTCCCACGATAAGCTCAAAATTTGTAAATTGACAAATGCACTGAGATGAAAGGGAATTGAGAACCCCTTTTTATAAAAGTTGTCCACGGGACACCCTAATACATTTGTAATAGGTGTGTAACCAAATGTTGATTTTATCACTACTTGGTAAATGGTGTGAATTCAGTTTACTTACTTTACTTTATATGGCTATTACAACCGAGGGTCGGTTTCAGCCTGCTGTAAAATAAAACGTCAGTTATTCCGGTTCTCTGCGCGCTGGCGTCAGTTGGTTACACCAAGTATTTTGAGACACTTCTGCACCTGGTCGTCCCTGCGCTCGTCCTTTTTTCCGTTTCATACCATCTATTGATTCCTCCCCATATGATTTACGGGCTGAGGCATTCGCCACACGTGTCCAAGCTAGCGCAACCTCTGAACTTTATACATAGAGTATATATAGGTTTATATAGCATAGAGTTCATAGAGATCATAATTCATCCTAATTCGGAAGGTATCATCGACACATATAGGGCCACAGATCTTACTGAGTATTTTTCTTTTGAACACTGCCAGCGCGACTTCATCTGACCTTTTCATTGTCCACGTTTCAGCGCCGTACATAAGGACAGGTAAAATAAGCATGTTGTCCGTTGGGAGAGGACTTTGCTCCTTAGTTGCTTACTAAGTCAAAAGTAGCACCTATTTGCTAGTGTTATTCTCCGTTTTATCTCTAAACTGACACCATTATTGCTGTTAATGGCGGCTCCCATGTGTATGCGATTTTCGAGACGTTGTGATGTTTTAGCGCTCGCAATTAGGTATTTTGTTTTGTCCTCGTTGTGCTTTAGGCCCATGATCCTCGACTGCCTCACCAGTTTGTCAAATGCACCACTTATTGCCCTTGTGTTGCGACAAATGATGTCAATATCGTCGGCATATGCGAGTATCGGGACACTTTTATCGTAAATGATGTCAGTGGTCCTAATTTTCGTCTCCATTTGCAGATTGAAGAAATCGCAGGATAGGGCATAGCCTTGTCTAAAACCTCGATCAGTATGAAACGATTCTGAAAGGTTTGCTTCTATCTTCACAGAACTTTCAATATTCTTCAGCGTCATAATGCAAAGCCGGACGATCTTCGTGGGAGTACCAAGTTCAGACATAGCAACGTACAATTTTCCCCTTATCGGACTATCAAACACAGCCTTATAGTCGACAAAAAGGTGGTGGATGTCGATTTGCCTTTCCATTGTCTTCTCTAGGAGTTGACATAACGTGAAAATCTGGTCTATGGAGGACTTACGACTCATAGTATTTTATAGACAATAGAAAGGAGACTTATCACTCCATAGTTAGAGCAAATAGTAGGGTCACTTTTTTGGGGATCGGGCACAAAACTCTGAGGTTCCATTCATCATGCATGCATTCCTTAGGCCATATTTTGCATAGGAGTTGGTGAATACATCGTACCAACTCTTCGCAACCAGTTTTGAATAGCTCTGCAGGCAAGCCATCGGTACCCGCGGATTTATTGCTCTTCAGCCGACCTATGGTCATTTGTACTTCCATGTCATCATTGACCTGGGTCAATGAAATCTCCTTCATCGCGTGCCTAAAGTTTCGAAAAGTGATGCTTTCATAACCTAAGTGTGCTCTGTATGTCCGTCACTATATTACCACTATTATCTCTGCAGGAAGAGGCCCCACACTTAAACCCGTCAATCTGGCTCTACTTTTCCTGCAACCAGGTAGTCCGTACTTTTCCTGCAACCAGGTAGTGGTTCGCAGTTCGAAACGTCCGTGCGTCCAATATGTTAGATTAATGCCCTCCATCTATCACAACGTGATTTGTTTGGTTTTTCGTGATTCGGCCCTGTCTTTCCTGTGCGTTCCATGTAGCCTTGTGAGTGTCACGATGTTTAATTCTAGTGCTACTTATAACAATGTTCCGAGCGGCGGCGAAGTCAATAAGCCTCATTTCATTTTCAGAGGTCTCGTCAAGGAGGCTAAATTTTTCGGTTGTAGGACCAAAGACATTCTCCTTGCCAATTTTGGCATTGAAATCGCCAAGGACATATCATGTTTGGGACATCGATCGTACAAGTCATCGAGACGGTCATAAAAGCGGCATTTGACTCCATTGCAGTAATGTCGCCCTTATAGTTGGATTGTTGCACCTAGCCTGTAAAGGGATAGAACATTCCAGGTGGCTATTCTCAATTCATGATCCTTAATTCGTTTGCGGGGTTCGTCATCTAAAGGGGTCCGTTTCCTGTTCTTATTTTCTATCCTACTATTGTAATATTTTTTTATATGGTGGCCTACAAAGCCAACGCAAAAACCTCAACATAATTAACTGTTAGAAGTTCATCTGAGAGAAAAGTGTATTTTCGACCCACCCTACTATACATGCAATTGCAATCTCTTTGATAAACTTTGAACAATTTTTTATATAAATGTACTTTCATGTTATACTTTATAACTATTTTATAACCTTAAGGAAATCTTTAAAAAGTGCATATATAAGT